TTTCTAGTGACAATGATTTTCATGCTTGCAATTCATAATTCTAGTAATATCATATTTGTTACATAACTTTGTTTGATCAAAGATATCATCTAATAGATACCAGGAGTGGGGTTTGAACCCACGAGGGCTCATGCCCATTGGATCTTAAGTCCAACGCCTTAACCACTCGGCCATCCTGGTTTTGTTTTGGGCTGAAACTGCATGGTTTCAAATAGGATATGAACCCTGAGAGTGTGCTGTTTTGTTAGGAGGTAATGAATTATGTCAACTATGCAATATTCCATCTTCTTTTTGTCTGACCCCCTACGAGATCCATAAAGCGCCATTTAGTATGATACAAAGATCAACATAGACTTCCTGTTTGCAGTGATTTTCCTCTAAAGTAAAGGCCTTTCCTTACGAGTGTGGGCCTGCGTCATGGTTGTTACTAAAGTTCTTGGCACAGATCTTTGTTTGATTAAAGATACCAGTTTACCAGGAGTGGGGTTTGAACCCACAAGAGTTTGTGCCCATTGGATCTTAAGTCCAACATCTTAACCACTCGGCCATCCGTGACAAATACATTCACTTGGCTGCGCTAAATCAGAGATTACCTTAAAGTAGCTTCCACAGCACAAGGTTTTTTTTAATCTTCCTAGCCAACAATCTTAACATTTGGGTTGGGTTGGGTTTGAACCAATCCTGGTGACTTGTGCAGACCATAGCAGATCTTATGTGTCATCAAATGGAGACAGGGAGCATATTTTCAATGTGTTTTTGTGTTTTCAGTCTTTTCCAGGTAACAAAATGCAGACAGTGTGGTTCAGTACAAACTGCAGCAGCCCGTGATCGCTCGCTTCCTCCGTCTCATTCCTCTGGACTGGAACCCCAACGGGAGGATCGGCCTCAGGCTGGAGACCTATGGATGCCCTTTCAGTGAGTCTCTTTTTTTTAACCAGCCTTACTTTACTCTCAGGGATTTTCAGAAGGGTCAACAGATGGGGCGGCTCGCTTTAAGGTGGTCTTGGTATGGAAACTCACACCACTGTGAAGCAACTTGTGCTCAGTTTATGTGGGAAAAGCAGTAAAGATAATGGGTGGATGGATGGATGGATATACTTTAAAGTTATTTCCAACGTTTGCTTTATGCCTCCAATCTAAATGGCGATCAATTTATCAATGGCATTTATTAATCAAAATTAGTATTTTGCCAATAATAGAAATGTTTCTTATATATAAAACACCTTATAAAGTACAACGATGCTAAAGGTATTGGCATGCATCTGGTAAAATTGAATGTGTGTGTGTGGAGAGAAACTTTTAAAAGGTTAACATGTTTTCTCCCCGATAAAAATTAATTTTCGCACACAGTCAAAGTGTTTGTGATTTTAATTACGTGTTGTTGGTTTATCCTATTTTCACACACAGAAAAAAAAACACAAAGGCTTTCTGCCAACTGCTGTTTCCTCTGTTTTAACAATGAGCGTTTTTTACACCAAACTCCAGTGAGCAGTGAGCAGTGAGCTGCTTTGTGTATTTCACAACAGATTTGCAGTACAACCTCTCCAGCATCAACACAATGGAAATGACTACATTTCACACTTTGCTTTTTACATGCTCACCATCACCATATGTTTTTCACTTAATCTTGAACAACCCAAAATCAACGTAACGGCTACTCTAATGGAAATACTTACTTTTACTGTATCTATCTTTCTTTGAATATACAAATGAATACATCACATATCCTCCTTCACAGTGGGCTTCATTTAAGACACATGATTATCTTGTTATTTCCATAAGCTGCTGACAAAGGCATCTACTGCCACGCCCCTTCCTTCACCAACATGTCAGTCAAATTTTGATTTTATGTCAGGACAAGATGATGCTGAATTCATGTTGATGATGAGAAAGATGTGTTTTTCTGCAGGTATTACTAACATTTTGGGTAGATAATATATGGCCCACATAGATGTTATTAATAGATGTCAGTTTGCTGCCATATTTAGATTTAAAGTTATTTTGTTTCTTTTATTTTGGGATACTACGCCATGGTGTAAGCCAGGCCCTGCAATGATGTCATCTACTTTTTTGTCTTTCAGCCTCTGATGTCATGAGTCTGGACGGCGTCAGCAGCAGTCTGGTGTTCAAGTTAAGTCCCGGGACGAGGCAGACGTCCAGAGATGTCATGTCTCTGCAGTTCAAAACCCTGAGGAATTCTGGGACGCTGCTGCACATAGAGGGAGAGGGAGGACTCGGCCTCAGTCTGGAGTTAGAGAGAGGAAAGCTGCTGCTGCTGCTCAGAAAAGGTACAACACGCAAGATACTATTACCTATTCATAAATCCTAAAATGTAATGAGATGTAAAAACATGTTAAGAATGGCTCATTTTAGAAACTTTAATAATTAGCATTTCCAGAAAACAAACAGGTTTCGCCCTTTCTACCTGAGAAATGATATTCTTAGTTTTTGAAGTCATTATGTTCTTTAAATATTGTTCGGGTGCAGAACATCTGTATAAGATGGAGGACAGCATAAAGCACTCTGAGAAAACTTTAGATTGGTCGTGGTTGGGTGGAGACAGACAACACGCACGCTGCAGCCTGATTGGTTTAAATTTGGCTCACACCTTGCTGCTGTCTGCTTACAGTCATGATGGATGGTTCCCGCTCGTGGTAGCATGTGTTAGGGCCGGACTCTGCAGGACTTGATTCATGGCTCACAGTCTGTACAGAGGTGTGTGTGTGTGTGTTTGCGTGTTCTAATGTGTGTGTGTGTGTGTGTGTGTGTGTGTGTGTGTGTGTGTGTGTGTGTGTGTGTGTGTGTAAACGGGGTTAAACCAGAGGTTGTCAGGCTGCCATGCTGAATCATCACCATATGGCTCACCTCTCTTCAGGGACCCCATATGGCTGCTGAAATCCCTTCTTCATCCATCCCACCCCTCCTCATCTCCCTCTACATCCCTCTGCCTCCTTCACTCTCTCTTCCTTGACTTTCATATCTCCCAAAACACACCTCTTTCCATCTTCTTGTCTATCTTTTTTTTTTTTTTATCTCTCCCTTAGTCTACCTCTCTACCATATGGCTTCTTTTTTTTTCTTCAAAATATTCTCCCAAGCCTTTATCCTTATCTTCCTTCATCCATCTTTCTTTCATCCATCTTATTTTATTTATTTTTTTTCCCGCAGTCTGTCGCCAAGTTATCTCCAACTCTCACAAAGAGCCTGAATCCTGCAAGGATAGATTGGCAACACATAAAAGAGTGGCAATGCTTCTTGAAGAAAGTTTGTCATCTATACACGTTGTCTCGCTGAAGACACGGTAAAATAAAATAAAAATAACTTTTTCCAAGTAAAAAAAATGGTCAGGGATGTTCGGTTATCACTGCTTGTATGCCAAATCTCCAAAATAGAACCCATGTTTTTTGCGTATTGTTTAATCATTGTTTTACCTGAAATACATTTAAATATTTAAGATTACACATTTTGCACAATTTTCTAGGATACATAGAAAACATGCATACAATCCTTTGTGACTCATCATTGGCTAGTGAGGCATGCAGTATGAGCTATCTGTGTAATATCCTGATTCAGAGTTGTGTATTTGAGTGTAAATTGCCAAAACTTTTACATTTTCCATATTACTGGTTTCTTTCCCCCCTCCTCCTCCTCCGTCTAACATTACCCAGAGTTTCATCAATCAATCAATCATTATTTGTAAAGCACCAATTAATAAGTAAAAAAGCAGGTGAAATATCGTACTCATTGTCATGTTACCCGAGAAAATGGGAAATGGGGAGATTGGATAACATGCAGGGAGGATTTCTCCTTTGTATTCATAGCGTTCCTGTTGTCCACACTTCCTTGTCTCTGAGGTGGAGGTCGGAGCAGGACGTGCATGAATGAGGACGGCGGTGGTTGTTGGGACAGAGCAGCCCGATGGTGGTGGCTGGACGTCAGGGACGTTTAGTGATAGTAGTGTAGTGTAGGGTTTCATTACACCATACCTCCCTGTTGTTTTCATCATTAAGCCATGCACATGATCATCCAAATCGACTTGATATATTTGATCAAAATCACTCAGAAACTGTCACAGAAAGTTCTTACCCTTACTGCATTTCAAGGCCAGATTACTGATTTTAACAGGCTCAGTAAAAGCCTTTCATCCTATCAGAAGAAAGTTCAATTTTAAAGAGTGTGTCATCTTAAAATAAGTCCGCATCGAAGTCTGCATCATTTAGAGAAAATTAAAGCTGTCCACTTCAATGCGAGGAGAGGGAATAAGAGCAGCTCTGCAAACATCTTGTCTACTCTCTGCTCTTTATTTGTCTTTGTCTACCTGTCCTACAACTCCTTTCTGTTTTCCCTCCTTGTTTATATCCTAATTACAGTTGTTTGCTTCCACAGATCACCAGTTCCTACACCAGAAGAGGCCATTCTCTATCTTTTAACTGTACTATCTTCATCCATCCAACAGTGTTTTTTGTTTGTTTTTCTCTTGGCATTTTAGTATGCCCTCGTGGTTCTCAGCCCTTTTACTTGTTTTTGTTTTCAGTCCAGTGCCCTTCATCATTCTTCCTCTCATTATTTCTATCTATGCCCTCCTTCCATTATTTTCTTCCCCTTTATTTATTTCCATACGCCTTTTTGGGTTACAGATTGTGTAATTCAGGTTATATGCCTTGTGCATTGACCCTGAGCTCATGCATGGACCATTCTGCTCTGTTGCACTTACATCAGATCCAGGAACTGACCTCCCTGGGGTCGTTACGCTTCATGAGGCAACTCTGAGTAACAGCGATGCACACAATCAGCAATGCTTTCCTTTACAACACAAGAAGCATAACATATAATGCTTTATAATTATTCAATGATTTGTTCATGTTGTCTAAGTCTGTTGTCTGCTGGCATAGACCTACCCTGTCTAAAAAGAAAAAAGGGGGGTAGCAACTTTGGAAAAAAAACAAAACAGCAAGAATTTACTGGATTTAAAAGTATAAATCCAAAACAATCTCAAACCACAAGATGTTTTTGTGGAAGGCACCCACCAGATTTAAATAAAAACTTCTAAACTTTTAATTCTAAAAGAGACCTGGCAGGTTAAGCAATATGCAAAAGATTAAAAATCAGCTTCCTTTAACCTGAGATGTGGCATTCCATCTGTGCCTTTATTAAAGCACAGATAAATTATCAGGAGTGGGGTTCGAACTAACAAGTCTCATGCCCATTGGATCTTAAGGCCAATGCCTTAACCACTGAGCCGTCCTGGTGACTCTCTGAGTTTCTGCTTGCAAAAGCTAAAACTGTAACAAACGCCATCTACAGAAAATAAATGTTCTTTTTTGTAATGGGCTTCACAGTGGTACAGTATTTAGTGCTGACGCGAGGAGGTTCATGGTTCGAATCCCCGTCAGACAGGGCCTCTCTGTGTGGAGTTTGCATTTTCTCCCCATGCCTAAGCAGATTTCCTCCAGGTCTACACCAAAGACCGGGGGTCATTTGGTGACCTTAGGTTTGAATGTGAGTGTGTCTTGTTGTCTGTCTCCATAAGTGTACCTTCCTTCTTTAGATTCGTCAAAGTGGAAGTTCAGTACATCGTATCAAAGCGAGCTCATAGCTTGGTTCTGTCCTTTGAGGTTTTTAAAGGCACAATTTCACTGCTCTGATATTTGCATAATAGTCACAATCTACCAGGAGGGTTCTTTGTTTGATTAAAGATACCGCTTTACCAGGAGTGGGGTTTGAACCCACGAGGGCTCATGCCCATTGGATCTTAAGTCCAACGCCTTAACCACTCGGCCATCCTGGTGTATTAAACACTTAAAACATTCATGTAAATTCAATAATAATCTCACCAAGGAGTTCAATTCAACAAGTACACAATGACAATTAAATTGACGGATCACGATGAAACATCTATAATCAAACCTTTATGTCTGTTACTGAAAACGATGCTCCTCTTCAACACATTCATCAAAGTGTCACGTCGGTGAAGTGTATCATTGCTGGCTTAGAACAACATATTTCCTCTTGTGTTGCTTTATGTAAAATATTCCCTTGCCATTTATTGAGACACATTTTTGTTTTTATTTATAAAAGTGTCCTGCACAAATACCAGAGCTTCGTCCCAAAGCATATAAACAGATGCATTTTAGAAATAATTCAGCTTTAATGAACACTGATGTCGTAGTACGTGGAGGTAAACTAAATCATTTCAGCTTTGGCTTATTTTGTTGTAACAAATTTCTGATTATTTTTAAGATGGAAGAAGCTATCAGCTGAGTTGTAATATCCAATTTAAAAGACATTCATTCTGTCTAGTTGTATTTACCCCCCAAAGCTCTTCCAGGATCTGTTTGGAAAGGATACTTTGCAACTTTGATTTCCTTCAACAGGGTGGTGACTCCTTGATATGTAATCAACAGGTGTCAGGTTTGAACCCATGAGGGATTTAACCCCCTTGGAACTGAAGTCCAGTAACTTCACCAATCGGCTAACCTAGTAGTTTATGGTGTCACCATAAACATGTGTATTTCAGCATATACATTAACAGTTGTATAGTAATAACATACTTAAGTTGATTCACAGTGCAGGCTGGGAAACGTGTCTACCCCAGGAAAAGCATCTTTACAAATGTCTCTATTAAAGAGATTTATAGACGATGAACCTTCGACAGCAGACTTCTTTTAATGATCCTGTTCAAACTGCAAGGCAAGTCTCGGAAAAATAAATGGATTCATCTTAATAACCTACTAAAATTTTTGATCTTCAGAAGAGCGTGTGCAAATTGAAACTCATGTTTTGAGGTGATAGTGGAGGCAGTTTCTGATAAGGGCCCTTGTTGTCTTTATGTGATATCAGACTCAGAGTCGCACTGAACAGCTTCGGTGAAATTGCAGACAATATAAGATACAATGTGACTTTGGAAAAAGAAAGTAGAAAGAGTTCAGCAGAGGCTGCAAGACTGACGCTCCCAAACATACCCAGTCCTCTCTGCTCTAAAGTCATAGAAATTGCTGTCAGAGTTTGATGAAAATACTTACTGTCCTTCAGCAGCAGACCTCCTCGTTCAGAAGCAAAAATCAGATTTCCTGGATTTCTCACTGGCTCAAGGCATGCAGCACATATAGAGTATGTAATCCAAATTTCATGTGCATGCTCCAAAGATGAAAAATGTTTCGATTTGTTGAGACCCCACGACCCTTCTTCTGTACCACCACCACCCTGATGTTTAAATTTTTTAAATCTGCTGACCCCGGAGCTTGTTAATATTTTCACAGCACATTCACGGTCCCCTCAGGAAGTAACCTATTGATTTCTGGTGACCCACCCCGTTCACAATTCATATCACAGTCTCGCTCAAGGACTCATTGACAGTGGGCCTAACACATGGGTTTTGTTTTTTTGCAGTACAAGCCAAGACTTTTCCAAAATCAGTCCCAGGAATAAAAAATACTACTGACTACCCTTTCTAAAAACATCGTGTACAATCACAATGTATTTAATTAGAATATGAAGGCTTCAAATGCTGCTAAAGCACCAAACTGAGAGGGAAATATAGACAGACGACAACATGGATCAAAAAGGAAAGTGAGGACTTGGGATGTTATGATCAATTCATTTTGTATGTGTTTGCTCTTGGACCTCTTTTATTGATTCCAGAGCTCTGTTTCAAGCTGTTTCATCAGTAATCAAATCATCCTGAAGATCCTGTCACACTACTCTACCGCCTACATCTTATTTGTTTTTAAGTCTCGCCATCATCTCTGCCATATTGATTAAAATGTTTCCACTCGCCGGACTGTGATCTAATAAATCATCACCTAAAATATAGCTACAAAACAGACTTCCCTCTTTTTTTGCTGTGTCTCTGCTTTCTCTGTTCGGATGACGTTTTCTTATCCAAATGGCAGTAATATTTATCTACTTAAGACAGGCAAAAATATCAAATGTACATTTGTCCGTCATCTTCTAAACTGTGTCCGTCTTTGAAGTTCTCCCTAAAGAATATCTTGTTCATTTTTAATGCTGGACTGTACGTGACTCTTTCTGTGGCTCCTTCTCTCTGCAGAATCACAAAGTTTCTCTGATGGTACGTCAGGGGATGCAGAAGTGGCTCGGCTAATTTGTACAGTCTTGTGCTCATCTATCATTAACGATGTCTCACTTTGTTTCCTTTGCAGAAAATGATTACATATTTGGCTTTCCTTCTCAGCGTCTAGTTATCCAAGATTCCCTAATTCAATGAGGGAGACTAACCTCTGTTTTCTCCTCTCTTTGGGATATCCTGAAAAATTTAAATACATTCCTCAAAATAAAGAAGCTTTTGATGGCCCGGTGCTCCTTTGTTTTACCAACAGAGACGTGAACAAATGAAACCATCTTAAAGCTCTAAAACGCTTCTTTTTTTTCCAGGTAGGACTCCATCCTCTGAGCCCCGGCGGCTGGCTTCCATCGGCAGCTTGTTAGATGATCAGCACTGGCACCATTTGGCGTTCGAGCGACGCAGCTCTCACCTCAACCTCACGGTGGACAAACACACAGAGAGGGTTCAAATCCCTGCAGAGTTCAGCCACTGGGACATCAAGCAGGTGGGATAAAACCCAGAGGAAAACCAGTTAACACACAGAGTCTACAATATTTTAGATCATCATAAACACACCCTACATTCTGGACATGTCTGTATGTTTTTGCCCCCATACAGCTGAGTGTAGGCGCAGTTCAGAGTCCGGCTTCTCAGAAACAAATCGCCTCCAAGAGGAACTTCCATGGCTGCCTGGAAAACCTGCAGTTCAACGGCCTGAACCTGATAGAGCTAGTAAAACACAAATACCACCAAGTTACAGTAATGGTAAGTTAAATAGTCACTTTCACTCCTGTTTAAATCTGTTGTTGTCATGAAAGGATACCCACAAGTGTCAGCTAGGCCTAGGACTTTGGGGGGGGGCTGGTGGCCTTTTATCTAGAGCATCAATTACAGGACAAGAGCCACAAAAACATCAGCCACATGAAATTCCTTTTGGACATTCATATTCTCATCGAGTATTCTGCTTGTTGTTTTTGTGACCTGTTTTTTTTAAACACTTACCAATTATTCAACACAGTGTTTACTGAACTACAGGGCAGCGTGAATATCTCTGTGATACTATCTCGTGGGTTGTGTTTTATTTAGTTTTAAGTGAAAGGATCGTTTGATTTGTTCTTCTGTACTTGTTTTTTTTATTGATCCTGCTAGTGTAAATGTAATCCCCCTGTGTGTGTGTGTGTGTGTGTGTGTGTGTGTGTGTGTGTGTTGTATTCCCCTCTTTTTTTCCTTCTGGGATTCAATTTAAGTGGTGAAATATTGGCTTCCCCACTCAGGCAGTGTAGTCGCTGCCTGATGGTGCTGCTGCTGTTAAATGAAGCCAGAACAAAGGAATGGAGACGCTTCTTAGACTCTTTACTAATGTCTTCTCATCTTGGGCTATTAGGATCTTCAGATGTTTCTACATTCACAATGAGCGGGAGCAAGCTCATCAGGCAGAGGGCTGTGAAGCGTTTCTGCAGGGGACTAATAAATGTTCTCTCATTACAGTAGAGGCCCGGGCAGCGCAGAAGAACATGAATTCTTTGTAAAGAGGTTCACGGATTCCACATGCATGGCTGAAGATCTAATCGAGGCAATTTTTATGATGTGGCTCTTAAGGTGCTAGCGACAAAGTTATGGTCCAATTTAATACAGCGACTAAATGGTGCTCTGCAAAGGGGGATTAATACAAAAGAAATACTAATGTGCATGAAGAAGAATTGACATGTCTTGCTGTAGACTTTTGAGGGTTTTTTAAGGTAACTTTTAAGAGTGTGTTGTGCACTATCACTGCCCACTCCAACATGAGCTATTGTGTATCACTCTAACTGCACCACAAAGGGCTTTTAGATGTCATCTGTGTTTCCGGAGCATTGTAAAGATAGCAGACGGATATTCCCAGCAGAGAGCCTTGGCTTCAATTTATTACTTCTGCAGTCTTAGCAAAGGACCCGGTGTCATTACCACCACTCAAGACAATGGACTGTAACAGATGTCAAGATATTGTAGGAGTGGGCTTACTGTGTGCTCTGCCTTATTTCTTATCGCCTTAACCTCCAAGCTCGGTGACTTTAGTATTTTAAGTTTGTCTTCCTAATCTTATTCTAAGCCTGTTATCATTATGGAAATCCTCTATAGTGCCCTCTTTAAGGAGACTCGCTGATGAGATCATCATGACACGGGGTCACATCGACACGCCCTCTGCAGCT